TATTTAGCCTTTTTCAAAAAATTTTTTCAGAAATTAGAGATTATTCTTCAACCACTATTTTGACCCAAAATTCCAAATTTGAAGAAAATTGCCGACCCGAAGGTATACTGTAACCTTAAATCACTCCTCTAACTTTCTGTGATATACAATCCGCCATATCCGTCCGTCGTGTATGGTAAAAATGCGTTTCCTAACAATGAAAAAGTTACCTCGCTCAATCTTGCAGAAGTAGAATTCCGAAAGTACCGGCCCTCGTTACTTTCGGATTTAGCATGCAAAAGGGGCCGCTACTTTCGGGTAGGCGTTACTTTCAGATGGTTCAAAAACGTTTCTACGGTTACAGTCTTTCAGACAAAGCGGACGCATACACGAATTAGGTTAACAATTCCGTTTATGTACAAATTTACTAAGGTTCAGTTCGGACGCCGAACTTTTCATGAGCCGAACCTAATACGTTGAATTAAGTACATGAGAAGTTCGGCGTCTGAATCAGTTAACAACAACTATTTGAATTTAGAACGGCTCAGCCGTTCTTCCCGCCTAGCTCAGCCGGGAATTTCGGCTTTGGAACGGCTTTGATTCAGACGTCGAACTTTTCATATGCCGAACCTAATGCATAAACCTTGCCTGAAAACCGCTGATGTTTCGATGTGTTTTGCTTCAAACTAAATTAAGTTCGGTGAATTAAGTTCGACCTCCGAATCAACAGGCGTACTTTTGATAATTTGCGTCGGTCCAAATTCGAATTAAGTTCGGCTCATGAAAAGTTCCGCGTCTGAACTGGGCCCAACTACCCTCATAAACAACGCAGACTGTATAAACAAAAAAAGGTCTCAAATGTTGGTACTGAATGGCAAAAGTAATGGTCGCATTATACATCGATCTAAAGTACTGCTTAAAACGTTTTATCAAATATACTACGGTTTTTTTTATTGTAGTCGAGCGGTAATCTTCAAAGGACCGTTACTTTCGGGTGGGTCGTTACTTTCGAGTGGACCGTTACTTTCGAGGTTCAAAACAGATAAAAAAT